TTTTAGTTATCCAGCTAATTTCTTTTCTTTTTAGTAGAGACAGGGTCTCGCTCTTGCTCAGGCTGGTCTCGAACTCCTGAGCTCAAACGACCCAACCGCCTCAGCCTCCTAGAGTGCTAGGATTACACACGTGAGCTACCGCGCCTGGCCCTTTTGTCCATTTTTCTATTGAATTGTCTTTTTCTTAGTGATTTGTAAAAGTTACTCATATATTGTAGACATGAATCATTTGACAGTTATATGTGTCTCCCATGTCTTCTTCCTTTCTGTGGCCTATCTTTGCATTTTCCTATAGTTTGTGGTGTTTTGTTTTGTTTTGCTGAGATGAGGTCTCACTATATTGCCCAGGTTAGCCTCAAACTCCTAGGTTCAACTGATCCTCCCACCTTAGCCTCTCAAGTAGCTGGGACTGCAAGTACACATTACTGCATCTGGCTAGAGTTTTTTTTTTTGAACAGAAGAACCTAATTTTCATGTAGAGATGTATGGTCTTTTCCTTTATAGGTAGTGTTCTTTGTGAAATCTTGCCTTAGTTACAAGTTGTAAAGTTATTCTCTATATTATCTTAAAGCTGTGTATAGTTTTGTCTTTCACGTTTAGTCTAATACACCTGGAGTGGATTATTTTTGAATGTGGTATGAGTAAAGGACCATTTCATAGTTTCCCACATGGATATCCAATTGTCCCAGCACCATTTATTGAAAATCTGTCCCTTCCCTTCATTCATAGTGCTATAAATCAATTTAATATTCTATTTAATATATGGGAATGGGTCTGTCAATAGGCTCTTTTCTGTTCTTTTGGTCGAGTTGTGTCTCTCTGCACTAGTAACACCCTGCCTTAGTTGTTATAGCTTTAAAGTAAACCTTGGTATCCAGTTGAAGGCTTCCTCACTCTTTGTATTTCCATGTACATTGAATCTGCTTATCAGGCTATTCACATAACCTGTGAAGATTTTTGTTGGCTTTCATTAAACATATCGATTAATTTGGGGAGAACTGGCATCTGTTGGGTCTTCCAGCCTTGAACATAGCATAGCTTTCCATTTGTTTTAGATTTACTTTAACATTTACTTTTAAAGTTTTATAATTTTCATATAGGGGTTGTTGAATGAGTTGATAGTATTTGATGTTTCATGCATTTATAACATCTTTTTCAAATGTCATTTTCTAACTGTTGAAGGAACAGAACTACAATTGAATTTTCTTTTACATTTATTTTTTATCCAGCTAAAAACTTTCTGGTTAATTCTAGCAATTTGTCTTTAGATTATTTTGGATTTTGTGCTTATGATCATATCATTTGCACATAACAGTGGTTTTGGTTATATATACCTGTTTTTTGCTTTACTACCTAGGCCACAATACAATGTTGAGTAGAAATGGTGATAGGAAGCAGCCTTCTCTTAATATGTCTGCTATCATTAATACAAACACAAACCTAAAGTATTCTTGGATGTACTTTTTCATCTTTCTATTTTCAGTATTTCTATGTGAAGTGAACCCTCGTGTAAACACATGTAGCTGTGATTTTTACTTTTGTGACTGGAAATTCTAGATTTTAGTAGTGTTTATTGTGATTACAAATATATTTAGAGGTCTTTTAACCATCCTCTTTTGTATTTTCTATTTATTGCGTTGATTTTTCATTTCAGCATATTACGGGGTACAAATGTTTAAGTTACATATATTGCCTTTGCTCCACCCAAGTCAGAGCTTCAAGCATGTCCATTCCCCAGTGTGCACCACACCCATTAGGTGTGACTATACCCATCCCCTCCTCCTCCCGCCCAACACCTGATGAACGTTACTACTATATGTGCACATAAATGTTGATCAGTTAATACCAATTTGATGGTGAGTACATGTGGTGCTTGTTTTTCCATTCTTGTGATACTTAGTAGAATGGACTCTAGCTCCATCCAGGGTAATACAAGAGGTGCTAGATCACCATTGTTTTTTGTGGCTGAGTGGAACCCATGGTATACATATACCACTTTTTAATCCACTCATGTACTGATGAGCACTTCAGTTATTTCCACATCTTTCCAGTTGTGAATTGTGCTGCTATAAACATTCTAGTGCAGATGTCTTTTTTATAGAATGTCTTTTGTTCTTTTGGGTAGATGCCCAGTAATGAATGGGATTGCTGGATCAAA